TAGAAAAAACAAATATAATTATGTACGTGCTCTTCAAGCAGCCAAATAAAATTAGTTTGTACTTGAAAAATGACAATTTTTATATCAGCTCACTTATTATGTCACAACGATGGCAAAAATTCACAGTGAAAGCACTTAACATAAAGATTTTTTATTCACAAATATTTAAGTTTAATATACTTTGAAACTAATATATATGTATATTTGTATAAATATACAAGTGTGTAAATTGTATGCTTAACCAACTTAGTCTAGGCGTTTATGCTTTCAACAATTTTATTTCACAATTTCAGTGTCAAAATATTTGTTTTACACAATTGTTAAAAAAAAAAAATGTTTTTAATTATTTAATTGTAGCTACGGATGGCGCTTTTCAGCTAAATGCGAGCATTTCTAAACAATTTAATTATTTCGAATAAACAATATTATATGGCTAAACTGTTTAATTTTTCACGCTTTCAAGCGATTTGCTAACAAATTTTGCATAACATACATACGTGTACTCGATGGATATACATACTAATTTAGTTTTGATTGAGCAAATAGGCAGGATAGATTAAACATGAAAGCTAACATGACAATTTAAACAGATTTATGAATTTGTCTTGCTATAATTTAGCAATTTTTTTTATATCAAAAGTTTAAAAAAGTTTTGTTCAAAAGTTTAATCTTCAAGCATTTTTGAGCTATTCTACATATGCATTTCCCAGAGAAAAAGTACTTCTGCTGACCTCTAATCGACCTCTTTAGCTCTAAACCTTAAAATGGCAAGCAAATTAAATTTCAGTTTCCCTTAATAAAATTCTAAATAAAAATATCAAAAGTACCTGCTCGCATTTGTCAACAACGGTTAATTGCTTGCGCATAATTTCAATTTTATTAATAAAAATTCTTCAGTTTGTGCTTTTTTATAATTTAATTCTTTTTTTCTACACAAAAATTTTTCACTTTTAATTATATATACAATCTGCAAATTATAAAAAAAATATCGAAAAATAAGTGGCATGAATTCCGATTATTTTCAAATTGCTTTCGCCGGAATTTATAAACATTTTCAAAATCGCAGTGTGTATATTTAATTCGATTATTCGATATAGATTGCCAGAAAGCAGCTGAGAATTCACACGTTTGGAATCGAAAAGATTTTAAATACTTAAAAGCATGCAGATTTTTCAATTTTCAATGTTCAAATTTATACACATACGAGCACATACATATGCGCACCTATATAAGTTTTCATGAACACCAAAAAAAAATTATATTTTTTATACTAAATTGGCCGGTGAACTATTGTGTGTATAAATTTCCAAAAAAAAAATTATTTATATTATCTATTCCAAGAACAACAACCTATTTCCCATCCCTGAAAAATTCCTTTTGATCCTCCTGATTAATTTGTTAGTCCTTCAAAAGAGACAGCAGGTATTAACTGCTTTTGTAAAATCTTTTTAATGGTATAGAAAGTAAAAAAAAGAAATATAAAATAAGCCACGTTCATGTGAACAGAGCCCCACCATGACAACCTTACTCACGGTGTTTCCACCGATATTTCCATTCTTGGGGCAGAAAGACGCCTTCGACGCATGCGCCTTCGCTGTCATTGACTGTTTGAGTAAGGCTGAAGATTATTTATAATATAGGTGCCCACTAGTAGCCGTTGTCTTTACTCACAGTTACATGTACATACATTTTCCTGGAATATCTCTGTGTTCTGGAATCTATTGCAGGAGTATCGTGGAACAGGCTGTTAGACTACGAAAAAATACGTCGATCTTCAAGACAGGAGCAAACTTTTATCGGACCCAGATGGGTAATCTAGTGACGGATGCCTAGAGTATACGGAATATGTGGAGGGAACACTTTTCCAGCCTTCTGAATGGCAGTGAAAGTGCAACACCCGGTGATGGTGAACCCGAAACCGCAATCGATGACGGTGGAAAAGACATTCCACTCTCTGACTATATCGAGGTTCGAAGGAACAACACTGCGGCTGGAGATGATCGCTTTCCGGCAGAGCTTTTCACACATAACAGTGAAGAACTGACGAGGTGCAAGCGCCTATGCAGAATATGGTCGGACGAAAGTATACCCGACCATTTGAATTTAAGTATGGTCTGCCCAATCCATAAAAAAGGGACCCCATAGTCTGCGCAAATTGCGGTGGGGTAAGCCTCCTTAATATCACATAAAAGGTCCTATCAAGCGTATTGCATGAAAGAAAAAAGCCCACCATCAACAAACTGATTGGACCTTAACAGTGTCGCTTTAGACCTAGCAGATCAACCATTGACCAGATACTCACCAAGCGCCAAGTCTTGAAAGGAGAATCGACACCCACCACCTCTTCGTCGACTTTAAAGCCGCCTTCGACAGCACGAAAAGGAGCTACCTTCACGCGGCTATGTCTGAATTTGGTAGTCCCGCAAAGCTTCTGCGGCTATGTAAACTGATGTTTTTACAATACCAGAAGCGCAGTCAGGATCGGGAAGAACCTCTCCAAGCCGTTCGATACCAAGCAAGGTTTCAGATAGGGTGACTCTCTATAGTGTGATTTCTTCAATCAGAGCTAAATAGAAAACGCACAATCTTCTATAAGAGTGTACAGCTGATGGCTTACGCTAATGATATTGACATTATTGGTCTCAACAACCGTGCTATGAGCTCTGCTTTCTCCAGACTGGATAAGGCAGCGAAGGTCTGGTAGTAAACGAGGACAAGCCGAAATTTCTTCTGTGGTCACTCAGACAGTCATGGCATTCGCGACTCGGCTTCCAAGTCACTGTTGACAGTCACAAGCTTTGAGGTCGTAGTTGATTTCGTCTATCTAGGGACCAGCATAAACGCCAATAAAAATGTCAGCCTATACATCCAATCTCTCTTGCTAACAGGTGCTACTTTGTACTGAGTAGGCAACTGAAAAGTAAAGTTCTCTCTCTGAGAACGAAAACCAAACTCTACAAGTCGCTCATCTTACCCGTCCTACTATTTGGCGCAAAAGCATGGACGATATTAATATTATATCTGATTAGTCAGCTCTGGGAATCTTCGGGAGAAAAAATTTGCGAACGATTTATGGTCCTTTACACATTGGCAATGGCGAATACCGCAGACGATGGTACTATAAACTGTACGAGCCATACGATGATATTGACCTAGTTCGGCTAATGAAGAGACAGCGGCTACGCTGCCAAGCTCATGTCGTCCGAACGGACGAAAGCACTGCAGTCTGGAAAGTACTTGATGCAGAACCCACTGGTGCGGGCAGAGAAAGAAGGATACCTCCAATTCGTTTGAAGGATCAGGTGGAGAGTGACTTGCTTTCACTTAATATTTCCAACTGACGCCAAACAGCAAAAAGAAGAGATGAAGGGCGGGTTAATATTGATTGGGCTATAATGACGTAAGCGTTGCCAACGCCAATAAAGAATAGTCCAAATCATTATTTCACTATCTTTTAAAAATTTCCTATGGATTTTAGTGATTTCAAAGCCGTTTGGATATCTGTAAATATAAATATGCATATTTCTTGTCGTAATCAGTCGTTTTGTCAGAATTAGTAGGCTTTCTTAATTTGCAGTAATCTTCGCCTGGAAAATACTGCAGTGATGTAGTAGTCCTGGCGATCAATTTTACCGAAAAAAGAACATAACATCCAATCTTTTATCTAGAGTAGATCTGTGTCTTTTTCAACCTCAACCTCATCCCACTTCTCTCTGTAAAGGAAGGAAATATTGAAGGAGCAGTTTATTCTAAAGGATTCACCGAGTGGGCGCCACGTCTTATGGTCTCTTGACTTAAATTTGTGCCCGCAAATCAAGATCTTTTCGAAAAATCTTCTACAAATTGGATGGATACAGCTCCATTTGTTGCGCCCGATGGCGGAAAGACTCATTCGGGTTTACTTTGATATTCAGCTCCTTAGCAGCAAAAGCTTCATCTCTGAGGATGCGCATTATCGACTAAAGTAAACGCGGTGCGAAACCGATCCATGGTTGCTCGAATTACTGTGTCTGCTGGGCGATTATGTCGACCGAATATTGGAACTATTACTTAGGTATCTAATAAATCTGCCCGCTTTACCAATATTTTTACGGAGTAAGTCTGTTTACCATAAAACGGCAAGCCAAACTGAGCATAAATCAGCTCCCAAGAGGACATAATCCGAAGAAAGTATTATCTCATTGAAAACCAACGTTTAAAAAAAATTAAAAATTATTTATAAAATTAATTTAAATATATTTTACACTAAAAATAATCAGACAGAAATCATAATAATCTTAAATTAATCAGATACAATGACAACTCGATAACAGTTCCTATGGTTTTTTTTGTATTAAAAACAATTTTTTGGTTCTGAAAACGCACCTTGATAATGGATTAATAAATAATTATTTTTTTTTTCAAAAACGAATATTTTCGAATGAAACAAAGCCATTCGCACTCAATTATAAAAACTTATCCCGTAAATACTTTTTTAAAAAAAACCAAAAAAAAAAAAAACAATGCGTAAATTTCACAACCTCTCGCGGCTTTTATTCGTAATTATCAACATTTTTTCGAAATTTATATTATTCTACTTTGCCTGCGCCCGCATGATCCACCATCCCCAACATTGTATTTTAGAAAATTAAAAGCAATGTGCTAAATCTATTGCCTTTGCCTGCGCCAGAGAATCTTTTGCAGACGCGATTCTCGCACATTGGATTAGCGATTAAGTGATTATAAATGAAACTTTACTGGCAAAAGATTTTGTGTATATTTTCTCAACAAACCATTTGCTATTAAATATATAATTTACACACACACACTTAAATATATAGTACTTTTAAATATATACTACTTTTTTCGTACACTGCCATTAAATTCGATAGTAAAATTGCCAAATATTTCGCATGCGGAAATGTCAAATTGAAGATTTTTGCCAAAAATAATGCTAATTGAAAATCACATTTTAATCATGGCCAATAACGTTTCCTTGATCTCCATTTGATTGCTTACAGATCAGGGCACACAAACCGATGCATTGCTGATAACCGAGGAGACCAGCGAGCGTGAGCAGTCACGACAGGTGCGCGGTAAGAGTGAGAGCAGCGAGGCCACCGCCGAACATTCGCCTTCGCCGCAACGCGAAATTTCCCATAAAATACACAAATCCGGCTCGTTCTCGTCATCCTCAGGGAATTCTGTGGGCGCTACCTCACCACTCGGCTCGGCCACCTCAACAACCTCGCTACACTACTCGCCCGTACAGCCAGCCGTGCGTACCCTTAAGACCAGTGACACGCTTAATACGTATCAAAAATGGGAAACCACCGTTGAGTCGATCAGTTATGTGTCGCGCAAAACTCTCGCCATCTCAGATTATGGCTCAGACACCGAAAGGCCCAGATCTAATTCTACGATTTCCACACACTCACAATCGACACGCTCGCGTTCGACAACACCTGTGTCGGGCCCCGTGCCAGCAGCGCGTAGCACGAATATACCAATTAGGGTGAGCACGGCTACGACTTCCACCTCGACAACGCCACCAACAACAAGCTTCAGCAGCAGCAGTAGCAGCAGCAGCACGGCTATGTATAGTAGTAGTAGTAGCACGAATAGTAGTGGCATTGATAGTGTCTGTGGCTTTGGACCTAGCACCTACAAGGCCAGCACAACAACAGCAACAACCACGAAGACCAATACTAGCAGCAGCGGCAATACGGCTGGTCAACTCAATGGGAGGGGAATGGGTGTGTCGCCAATAGCAAAACTATACAAACTATCTAACGGTTCACCACTGTCCGTCAAACAGACAGGTAGGTAAATAATAAATAATTATTTGATTTTGAAAAAATACACATTTATTTATGCATTCATTCATTTTCATGTGTTTTCATTATTAGCGTGAAAATATTAATTTCCTTTTGATTCAATTATTTTTTTCTTTCTATTTTTAATTTTCATATTTATTTATTTATATGGCATATTCGTACATTTTAGCACCTCTACATACGTTTGTATTTATTCTTCGCATTCCATTCAATACGTTTATTCGTAAATATTCATTATTTGTGTGTTTTTCTGTTTCGAAGGTTTTTTAATGCATGTTTCGGAAAATTTTCAATAATCACCCGATTTTGTGTTTTTAGAAAATATTCGCCATCAACGCCATATCATTCATCTTTCATCTTTCGTGCAGAATTCATTATGATTTATTATTTAAATTTTTTTTTTTCCAAAATAAAAAAAATTAATTTTTAAGTTGTAAATTCAAAGAGATTTATTTATTATATCAGGTGTACAACTTTGCTTCCGCCGTTTTTTCCAAAATTAAAAGCTTTATGGCGAAAAGTGCTTACAGATATATTATTCAAAGTATTGTCCTTCGCTAGCGAGACAACTTTCTCCCATCTATCCGACAATTTTCGGATCCTGGCTCGAAAAAAAGAGTCCCCTTTTGACGCTAACCATGAAGCAATCCATTTTTCCAATTCTTCGAAGGATTGAAAATGTTGATCTGCCGGGCCGTGTGCCATCGAACGGAATAGGCGGAAGTCAGAAGGGGCGACATCTGGGAAATACGGCGGATGGGGTAAGACTTTTGCGACGTGAGGCCGAGCATTGTCGTGTTGGAGGATGACTTTGGCATGTCGCTCTTGATATTGTGACCGCTTTTCTTTTAGCGCGCGATTAAGGCGCATCAGTTGCATTCGGTAGCGATCTCTTGTGATGATTTCACCCGGTTTTAAGAGCGCGTAGTAAATCACACCGAGATAATTGTTCATCTTTGAAGGTTTTTTCTCTTCCACCACCATGTATGTCTTCGACATCGAAATCACCATTTTTACGTTCTTTCACGCAGAGCAGCATCACCGTAAGTTTCTGAGAGCATTCGATGCGCTTCAGCTGCATTTTTTTTTCGAATTGTAATAGGAAAGTAAAACTTCCCTCAAATGACGAGAATTAGGCACAAAAACGGACATTTTCGAGCGTGAATAATACGAAAACAAGAACAACTGTCACTGAAACGGCGATGACAATTCGTTAGGCACTGTCCACACTCACTTTAAAGGCATTATCATCTATGTATTTCAACCAGCCTCAGTCGGTACAGCTACCTATCGGAAAACGGCGGAAGCAAAGTTGTACACCTGATAATCACATGTTTTATATATAAATGCCTCTTTGAGTATCTGAATTAAATTATGAACATATGATTATTGTTAATGCATCCTCAAAAGACCTTGAAATTATTTTTAATCTTCTTCCGTTGGACCTACATATGCATATAGTAAACTCGAAGAGGTAGACTAGAGTACTTCAACTTTCTGTTGTAATAATGTATTTTCCACAAAATTCATAGAGAGAATCGAGTGGGAAAATATAATAGCTTTGAATCGAAGATCTGCAGCCAACTTAGCTGAGTCAATGGCAGAGTGGGCGGCAGAGTTCGATCAGTAAAGTTTCCTCCAAAGATGCTCGATAAACGCAAAGATATCATTTCGTTTCGCTAGCAGTCGCAATCAGTAAATTTAACTTAATTTTTTATTTAAATTAATTTTCTATAAATTTTTGGACGCTAGTACGACACCAGGATCAGCCTTTAGTAGGCATTAAAATGCTTCCCCACTCTTATGGGAACCTTTTCACCTGCACAGCGTTGATATCTGAATTCATCAATGTACCGAAGTTCACTTGGGTTTAAATAATGAAAAAAGATTTAAATTAATTCTTATTTATTTGTTTATTCTTATTTCAGTGAAGTGAACAATAAATTCTTACTGACTATGCACAAAGAAGACTTAAGGCTATTTAAATTATTTTTATAAATTAGTATTTTGTTTATTAATTAATTATTATAAAAAGAAGACATTTCTAAAATTTGGAGTAAATAGTTCTGCGAAAAAAGAGTTTTCAAGTTCTTCTTCTTCTTTATTGGCGTTGACACCGCTTACGCGTTTATAGCCGAATCAATATTAGCGCACCCTTCACCCTTTCTTTCCGCTGTTTGGCACCAGTTGGAAATACTAAGTAGAACACGTCGCTCTCCACCTGGTTCTTACAACGAAGTGGAGGTCTTCCCCTTCCCTTGTTTCCACCGGCGAGTACTGCATTGAATACTCTCAAAGCTGAAGGGCTTTCATTCATTCGGAAGACATTCGCTGAACTATGTCAATGTCAACGTATGTGGTGTACAGCTCATCGTTTTATTGCCTGCGGTATTCGCCGTTCCCAAATCGAAGAGGAATATAAATCTTACGCCAAACCTATCTCTCAAAAACTCTTAATGACGTCCATGCCTCCGCCCCATATAGAAAGCCACAAACGATGAGCGACTTGGAGAGTTTGCTTTTCGTTCGCTGAGAGAGAACTGTACTTTTCAATTGCCTACTCAGTCCAAAGTAGCACCAGTTGGCAAGAGTGATTCTCCATTCGATTGCAAGGATGACTTTATTTTTGGTATTAATACTGATTCCAAGATAGAAGAAAATTTCCACGGGCTCGAAGTTATGACTGTCAACAGTGACGTGAGAGCCCAGCAGGATATGCACTAACTATTCGTTTAATGACAGGTGGTACTTCCTACAGCTTCAGTTTACACCGCCGTTGAATGCGGTAATACCAGATTCAGAGACAATAGCGTAGGAGCAACTTCAACTCTTCGCGATCTGGGTTGGAATCCTGACCCAACGAAAACTGGTTTTAATAATTGCACAGATAAAATTTTGATTCCAATAGACAACTTTCAATAAACAAATTTCAGACGTTCTTTTTTTTCGTCCTTCAGCAAATTTGTCTTGCTTCGCTTCTCAACTCTCATTGTCTTTCCATACCGTTCGCATTGTGGTCGATGACAGTGTGGGGTGGGTATTTATTTAACGAGACTGCGGCTCCTGAAACTCTTCAATCCCGTCGAAAATATTTCATAAAGGTCAGAATAAACTAGGAATAAAATTTATTTCCATTTATTTGTACTGGGCCGAAAATCGCTTAATGGTTATGAACTGCTAAATACATACAAGGTGCGTTCCAAAGTAAACAGAGCTTTTTGAATCTAGCGCCCTCTAGTGGCGCCATCTATACGTCGACTAATGCGTTAGAATCTGATATTCTTTATCAACTTCCAGTAGAAATTTCATGACACTTCATCTATTGGAAGTGAAGTTATTGCGTTTTAAGTGCCGCTATGTTTTTGTCATCGGTGCGAAAATGAGCTTCGAACAAAGAGCCAACATTAAATTTGCACAGAATTCAACGTTCGAAGGATATCATTAAGCAAGCAAAAAAAGACCCGAACTTCCTTTACAAGATTGAGACTGGTGACGAAACGTGGTGTTTTCAATAAGATCCCGAAACGAAACGTCAGAGTGCTGAATGGAAGGCGCCGGACGAGCCGCATTCACCTGATATGGCACCGTGCGGCGACTTCTACCTTTTCACTTGACCTTGCCGATGAAAGGAAAGCGTGGAGGCCATTCAAAAGGCTTGCAGCGGCATACAAGCGACCATACCGGGCAATGAGCTAAAATACGTTCGACTTGCTTTTGGACCGTGCAAAAAGCTGTATTAATGCAGAAATATACTATTTTGAATAAATTAATTTGTTCTGTTTTTTTTTTTTAAGTCCTGTTTACTTTGGAAAGCACCTTGTATATACCTAATTGGCGCTCTGTAATCTCCGAAGCGATTTTCACATGAGCTTTTCCCCAGACCTTCTTCTATAACTTACATATATGTATGCTAATTATATTATATAATAATGGCCAAAGTCTGGCACTGTCGAAAACATTCAAGGATGCTGTCAGTCAATGTCCATTTGGGAATTGCAATTACGAATACAAGCATGCAAAAGTATGTACATACATACAATACATAAGTATGTATATGTACATACATACATATATCCCATATAAGTGCAGTTCATCACGCGTTTCTTAGAATGAACCACAATTATGAATTGTCACTCATTTGATTATCCCCGGCGTCGCTACCAGCGCACGAAAAGGCCGCTGCCACAATTTACACATTTTTAGTTTGTAATGTTTGTAATTTGGGTCATTACACAATTTTTCTTTTTCACCATTTCACATACCATTCGTTTTTCACTTTTTTCCGCTACCACTTAATATAATTGTTTAATTCTTGACGTGAAATTTCATTTAGACTCAATCGCGCACTTCAATTTATTTACGACGAATAGAGCAAAATTTATCGATAATCGATAAATGTAAAATGAGTCTATTTACAAAAGTATCACAAAGGAATTTTAAATTTATATTTCAAACGCCTAATAATTTTTCATTTGAAACTAAATTGAAATGAAAATTGAGAAATCAAAGTAATTTATATTTGTTGGCTGCGTGCGTGTGCATATGTATGTGTTTATGCACACAGAATTGCTGAAGTTGACATTAAATACGTGTTGAAACAGCAATTGCTGCACACAAAACACAAGAAAATCATGTAAAATTACTAAATATAGCGCAAAATGCGTGTTTACAGTATTGGCTTTCCGGCCAATGAAAATATATCTGTATGTAAAAAAAAAAAACCAAAAAAAAATAAATAAATAAAACTAAAAACGAAAAAACCTAAAATCGTGCGACAACAGAAGAACAACTCAAAAGGTGAAGCAAACGACAGCACCGAAATACATGTATGTACATAAATACATATATATTACATGAAAAACACAAAAATTTCAACAAAACCAAAAAAAAATAAAACTCTGTGAAAGAAGTATTTTCGAACCACACGCATAGGCATTCGCACAAGTGATCATGGAGCAGCAGAGCACAGCCTCCGAAGCAGATTTAGTGTGTTTGTTAGTAAATATGTACGTGTATGTGCAGATGATTATGTATGTACATTACTACATATGGACACAATGCAGACAGTAGCGGCTCCACTTTTGTCTGACTGTGGGGCACTGTGGCAATTTCTTAAAATATTCAATCTCATTTGCACGCACACACACATACATACCAAGAAAAATACACACACATGTGTATAAATGTGTACATAATACTTGTTGGAGTTTAATGTAGCAGTAAAAATTGCAAATTAATTTCATTGCGTGTAAAATGTAATTCGATAGCACTTTCGATTGCAAAGAAAAATTAAAAAAAGAGAAAAAAATTAAAAAAAAAAAATATTTTTAATGTGAAAAGTACCACGATCAAATTATGCAAAAAAACGTAATAACTGAATAACTGTATGTACATACATACATACATACGAGTACATATCTTTGTGCATTGCCTTATTTGCAACTGAAATATTTTCTACACACATACATATAAATAGCTATGTACGTGCATATGTATACGTATTTATGCAGCTGATCATCTGAGAGTCATTACATACATATATATATGTATGTACATGTGTATCTGAATCGTGCCCCATGTGGTTGTGAAGTAATTTCTTCTTTGACTCCTTATGCTGTAATACACATACATACATACATACATGTGTATGTAACAGCGTTTATGAACACGTTTACAGATGTGTGTATTTATATATGTATGTACGTTCATATAAATTAATGTGACCCGCACGTTACTTGTGGTTTTTGGTGGATCACTTGTGGTCGTTTGGCTTGAAATCTCTACAACTCCGTTGTACATACATATGTGCATATAGTAGGTATGTATGTGCCGACATATATATCATATGTAAATAATTAAATAAAAAGTAGATCTTTTTATGGCGAGACGCCACTCGGCTTTGCTTGTGGTCGCCTTAAAAGTCTTTCTTACTCCAGCTATCTTTCGGCAAGTACATACATACATACTCGTACATACTGAAGATAAATACTTCATGGCAAATATGAAATCTTAAGAAATTCAATATACCAATGTAATTGGGAAAGGGGACAAAGCAGAAGATGCCGAAAAACTGAGCAACAAGATGGGGCAAGCGGGCAACAGAATGAAGTTTTTAATTTTTAAGAATTCTCGCCGTAAAAATGAGGAAAATCTGCTTAAAGTTTATAGTTCATGAAGTAAAACATTTTTTCTGTCTGCCTGTAAAAACTTCGCAAGAATCCATTTTACTCTCAGTCGCCTCCAAACGAGAAATACACTTGGAGGGTTTGACATTCTAGGAGCGACAGTGATAAGAAAAATTCCGTTTTGGTTAGTGGTCGAACTGGGGAGTCGCACCCTGGTCTTCTGTTCCGTTCTGCGACCGTCATGCAGATCCCGATACTAACTAAAAGACGATAAGAGCGCTTCTGGAGGGCAAAGGAGTAAGTAACGACGACGGCAAGCAGTAACGACGGATGTAAATATGCATAATATCACTATTTATATATACATATATATATAATATATATAATTGGCGCTATGTAACCGTTGAAGCGATTTGTCGGCCGAGCTGCTTTTCCAACAATTGGAGGAATCTACAGTTTATACTTCGCACCCTCCGAACGGCCGATGGTTTTTCATGAGGAGCTTTATTTCATGTCCGAAATACACTCGGAGAGGCGGAAATTCCCTGCCGAGGGGCGACCAGATTAAGAAAATTTAATTTAATTTTATTTCAATTAATTTCAATAATTTTTGGATCTTAGTGGCGCCGGGATTTAAACCCAAGCTTTCCGAATGTCAGTACCACTACTTACCGCACGAATATTCGCGGAGAAGACCTGAGAGGAAAGAAGGGGCACATTCTAAGTTCAACAGCAAAGTCAACCCTGAAAGGTAAAATCCTTTAGGAGATGCTATTTTGCTTCTTCATACATCGGCTTCGAGAAATAGCGTCGTTAGTTCCTTTTTCTCTAGATTAAATGAGCAAGCGAAGCGAAAGAATGTCGTAGAGAAGATGCCGAATATCATATCTCCCAAAACTAAATACCATCCGTCAATAAACAGAAAAAAATGATTAATATTGCCAAGTTCTTCTTCACCTATTTTGCTCACTCTCCTTAAACCAGTGGATGCTTTGTTATGTCGCATTGTTCCACACACAATCTTCTTCATGCGGATGACATGGCATAACTGGCGTCGCAGCTGTCTCTTGAGTTCGTTGGGCTTATCCCTCCATCCCTCTAAAAATGTACTGCAGCACCATTGTCTCGCAAACTTCTAAAGCCGACACATTGCATATTACCAATGTTCACGCTTCTACGCCGTAAAGTATGGTGAATAACGTTAGCTTATTCGAGGCTTTTGTTAACCTTTCATTGGCGTCAAACTTAAAGTTAAAATTGGGGAAATTTGATTTGGCGAGCCGCTAGCTTCAAAGCAAACAGCCACCATAGCTACACTCTTGGGGAAAGGAAGCAACGATGAGACTTCAGCGAACACTCAAATCGAATATCTTGGAGCGGCTAATCATATACAAAACTACACTCGAAGTGGCAATAACTTTTGGGGTTCTTGGGCTCTTCACCCAGAATCATATCTGACTTGCTCTATAAACCATGTTTACAAGACATTAGTGCTCATCCTTTTCAAATATCGTATTTAAATATTATAAAATAAAGTCCTCCGCCGACGCGAAATGTCTGTCTGTCTGTATGCATTAAACTTTAAAACTGCTAAACGGATTTTCGTGCAGTTTCCAGCAATATATAGAGAGGCTCTTCAGCAAGGTTTATGTAAATAATTTCCAACATTTTTGTACATTTTTTTCAAAATAAACTTTTTTTAGATTAACATTATGTAAAAATGTTACAATTTCTCGAAACATAGTATTGGTGACTTCTTCTTTACTCATCGTATTTGCGACAGACGCTTGAATTTTTTAGTATTATATTTTCCAAAGTTTAACCCCTTTTCCACAATGTTAAAGTTATAAAAAGAGTCTAACATAACGCCGGCGTAGGCCCATTTGTCTTGGGCTTTGGCAAGCTTTGTCACCGTCTCATAATTTTTTGGGTTTTTTATCATTGTGAAATCGGGTCGATCATGAAATTTTCGTCCCATTTTAAAGTTCCTGAAAGTATGTACATATATCAATATTATACCAGCTCAATAACTAAACTAAAAGTTTAAAAAAATTTAAATTAAAATTCCATAAAGCGTTTGACCATAAGTTCTACTGTATCTAGAGTAGACCAAATTTTTCGGTGTTTCAATGTGCAAAAATAAAAAAAAATATTTATGTGCGCCTTACACGGTGTGTCCCAAAAATAACCGAACTTTATATTTAAATCATACAACATACAGCGCCATCTATTGAAAATTTGCGACATTAAAAAGATGTCAGTCGGATGACAGATCTAAAAGTGACAGCCATTTCAATAAAACCAAAAGTGTGCTAATGGTTCAAAAATAAAATGGAACAAAGAGCAAATATAAAATTTTGTGTCAAACTTGAAAAAAAAATTATAAAAAAAGGTTTTTTGTGATGATTGTATGAGTCGTACGCAAGTTTATACGTGGTTTACACGATTCAAAAATGGTCTTGAGGATTTAAATGACGACCCTAGAGCAGGATGTCCAGAAACTATTTAGTAATCGTGCTGAACTGGTGCTAAAAGTCCGTGAAATCATTGGTATCGATGCAAGTTTTACTACGAAAATGTTGGCTGAAGAATTGAATACGAGTAAAAACACTATTTGGAGAATTTTAACAGAAGATTTGGGGAAAAGAAAGGTCTGTGCGCGATTTGTTCCACATGAATTAAATGACGACCAAAAAAATCGCTCGAATTTTTAATAAAAATAAGGATTTCTCTCATCGACCATCCTCCGTATTCGCCTGATCTATCACCATGTGACTATTTTTTATTTCCAAAACTGAGAACCAAGATGAAGGGAGCATTTTATGATGATATCCCAGCCATTCAAGCAGCCGTAACTGACGAACATTTCTATAAATGACGTAAAAAAATCTATGCATGCGCTGGTTGATCGTTCCAAACGTTGTGTTGAGTCAAATGGAACCTATTTTGAATAAATAACAACTTCAAAGATAATATAATGTGTACTTTATTTTATATCCAAAATGTTCAGTTATTATTGGGACACACTGTATATAAATGTTTTTATCAAATAATTATAAAAATCTAAAAAACTTAAATTAGGACTTTAAGTAACTGCATGCTCATATTATTCACTTCTTCACTCCAACTACATATGAAAAAAACTCTACACCTCTTTTAAAGCACTAATCTCTCAGTAGTATCACTCCAAGTATTCCGCATGCTCTTGTCGCTCGATTAGTTATATTATACCACTTTCACTGTATGTTTCTATCCACTTTGAGACATTCTCACTCACTCACTCATACATCGTTGCATGCATTCGACACCTGTAAATATACAAAGTATAAAAATGTAGCAAATTTGTTCTTTACCAAACAAACACAACTTACCAACCCCGTACTTTTTGTTCTTCTTCTTCTTTTTCTCCCCTACAGCGGTATGAGCGCCTAAAATTAAAAGATAGTGAAATCCCATCAACCTAACCTAGAATTTCTACAACAATAAAAAAAGCTAAATATTAAAAAAACAAAAAACACAATTTCATTTGCAAACACTTGTAAAGTGACACCAACAACAACACTACTAAATTCTACAAGAAACGTGCCTGTAGAAGAAGTCCCAAAGACGTTAAAGCCAATAATTTTACGCGGAGCGATCCCCACATTTACGGAATACTAAAAATAAACTAAAATTACTTAATAAAGACAAAACATAACAATTGATTAAAATTTGAAATTTAAGTAAAAACTAATCGATTTACTAATATTATATATATTTATGTAAAAGAATAATTTCTAAAATTTGCAAAAATATATAAATACTGATACATTCCAAAAATTATTAATATCGAATTTATTCATTAGTTTTTAGCAGAAATAATATAACTAATAATCCATTTCTGAGCGGATTTACTTTTTGTTGATGTAAATTCAAGTGCTTGATGGAGAATGTAATAATGATCCAGTGAAAAGTAAATCATTATATAAGATTGTCAATTGCTCTTCATTCAATGCTTTATAAAAAGTGTTACAGTGATCGGATTTAGCTAAAATATGCGTCGTTTTGTTCGATGCTCTGTTTCCATCTAGACGGCAGCTTCATAATACCTTCCACGTAGAAGCCCCCCTCCTTATTTGCGAAGAATTCGGACAGCCACTTTTCACAAGCCTCTTTTGAGTTCAACTTTTCGCCATGGACAGAAACAGGTGGTAATCACTTGGCGCTACGTCCGGGCTATATGGTGGATGCGATAAAACCTCCCATCCGAACTCCCGTAGCTTCTGACGAGTCATCAACGAAGTGTGTGGTCTGGCGTTGTCCTGGTGGAACACTACACCCTTCCTGTTGGCCAATTCTGGAAACTTCTGGTCGATCGACTGCTTCAAGCGGTCCAGTTGTTCGCAGTAGATGGTAGAATTAAGCGTCCGGCCATATGGGAGCAGCTCATGGTGGATGATTCCGTTCCAATCCCACCAAACGCACAGCAAAACCTTCCTGGCCGTCAATCCCGGCTTGGCCACTGTTTGGGACGATTCACCGGCCTTCGACCACGACCGTTTTCGCTTGATATTGTCGTATGTGATCCATTTTTCGTCGCCAGTCACCATCCGCTTCAAGAATGGGTCGAGTTCGTTCCGTTTCAGCAGCGTATCACAGGCGTTGATTCGGTCCAGATTTTTTTTTTGCGTCAAATTATGCGGCACCCAAACATCAAACTTTTTTTTGTATCCAGCCTTCTGCAGATGGTTCAAAATGGTTTGGTGACTAACTCCCATCTCCTGGGCGATGTCACGAGATGCCAAATGCCGGTCTAACTCGATGTATTCCATGATTTGATCGGTATTTGTCGTCACAGGTCTTCCGCCGGCTGGCTTATCCATGGTGCCGTTTTCACCGGCTGTGGATCGTCGAAACCATTCCTTCGCGGTTCGAAGTGATAGAGTACCATCCCCCAAAACACGATTAATCTCACGGAACGTTTCTCTAGCGGATTTGCCTTTAACGAAGGAAAACTTTAAAATATCGTGAATTTCGGCGTTAGTGAACTCCATGTTTACACGTCTATAACTGTTGAACGCAATATCCAAACTAATCACGCATAGCGTTGTTTTGTAGGTTATGTCAAGACTTTTCAAATTATGTATAGTGTTGCCAGATCTGTAGCGCTTTGTACATAGCCGCGAAATTCAAAAGACAAAAAAGCGGAAGGGAGATATTTGAATTAAATTGAAAACTTGAGCCTGTCGATTGTCACAGGATTCTCTTGAGGCTAATTCTTCACCAGTCAAATCATTCGCCTTAGACAAAAATATATAGTAATTACTTAATACAATGTTCACGATACCAAGTGGATCCCTTAGGACCTGCCAAATAACTTCTTGGAGCGAACGGGGAGTCACTTTCGATGTGTCTGGTCTGGCGTTCTCGTCATGAACCACAAGTCCTTTTCTGTTGACCAAAGTTGAAAGCTTTTGAGCCATTGTTACCTTCTGACGTTCCCATTGCTGACAGAACAAATCCGAATTTGACCGTAGAGCAGCAACTCACACTAAATGGTCTCCTGCTAATCACACCGAATACAATCAACATTTCTAGCTGAGAGACCGTTTCAATGATGGCTAACTACCTTTCGACCGTTTTTTGCCTGACGTTTCAAATGTTTCAAATCTCATCCACAGTCACCATTCGCTGCAGAAATGCATCGATTCATTTACAATTCAGCAGCGATTCAAGGATGGAAATTCGGTTCATACGGTTTTTCCTCGTTAACCCATGTGGCACCCATACATCGAGGTCCTTTGTGTATCCAGCCTTTTCAGGCGGCTTCAAACCATGTTTTTGTGTAATATTTACCTCCTGGGCAATCGAAAGAGTGCTCGCCTAATGCTCAGACTCGACGTTTTTTCAATATTTTATCGACATTTCGCCAATTTCAAGGTTTTCGACAACATTCTGTATTCCTCATCGATACGATCCTTCAATCGAGTCTAAAATATTTCCTACGAAAGCGCACATTGCATACTCGTATGCCGCTATATTTACGAGTGCTCTCAGAGTGCGAAATTGGTACAGTTCTCAGTCTCCTGATAATAGAATTTTACTTTTCTTATTTGGTGCGCGGATTCATGCGAAAGGCTGTTTAACGGTAAGTAATTCAACGCTGGAAGTATTGAGTCCTTAAAGAGCTCTGAATAGATAGATTTCAAAGGGGCCTAAGGCCTAAGATAAATATGCACATCAGACCACTTTTGGAGAATTTACAAAAGTAATCCTTTAAAGGCCGCCTCGCTCAAATTGATATGTACTATGATAAAGCTCTATTATCTGCACTATATTATCTCTCATATTTTTATAGTACTGTTGTGATTGCTGATTTTCTTTGATATACGGACACGGATACGTTTCTTGACTGCGATAAGATGGTGAGCCGAGTCGATGGGTACGTATGCCTATCTAAAGCATTGGAGAAATGTCTTTCGTCTATATCCTGCCGATAATCCGTGATTTTCGATGCGGCGACAGCTTGTAGCTTGTTGAGTTTTCTTGTATAGAAACTTGATAGCCCAGACAATAATATTTCGAACAACGGCGAACTCGATCAGATTAAGCGCGTCTGGAAATGTTTGGCTACGGAGACTAAAACTCCCAACCGCCGTGCCAAATATGCTTTCTCTTCCCATCCAAGCACAATTTCATCATCGTGGCATCAGCAGCGCCTCTAGGTGCGTGCTAAATGCTCTGGGAACGCTTCTTTGGTGCTTCTTTTTAGCCGGTACGTAGACTCAAATCGCTGTTGTGTGTATTGTGGAATGTTGCGGGAGTGACAGTCCTTGGCCCAATAAAAATCCGGGTCGTTCCGGTATAAAGACCCGACTGTCGCAAGAACTATTGGATTTTCATCGCCTCTTACGACAGGCATGCGGATAAATTCTTGAACGCCTAACTCACAGGGGCGTCTCAAAGCGCTTTTTGCTGATTGTGGCTAGACGTTCATCCGTCATTGTCCCATCTTTCGGACTTCTAGGACGGTCGTGTTGTCTTACGAGGGCAAACACCAGTTGAGCAGCGGCACCATCCCCACCGTGACCGGACATTCCAAGCACATGTCCTCAAATTGTGATCTTTAATATGTTTGTAGTGGATTTAAACCACTGCCCACAAAAAGGGGAGTAAGTTTAAATTTTCTACTCATTTATATAATGAGCCGCTTGCTTCAATAACAGTCGCTGCAATTAGACTTCAGCGAACTCTTAAACCGAATATGTGACTCCACTGAAGTATCCTCTCTCTTAGCCGTGAATGAAACTCCACCGTATCCTGCACAAGGATTGCTTACGTTTCCAGGGTGAGCGACGTAGACGCAAGAGTGGGAATTGTGTATAGCCCCGCGACTGTAAATACAATTATCTACCATGCAGGTAGTCATTCAATGACTTTTCGGAGAATTTTTCGGTCAAAACTTTCCCACATTTTGTCTAAAATATTGTCATACCAAGTGAGATATTGAAGTTTCTCAACTCATCTCACTGTTTTTAGTATGGGTATTAGAAAATTATTGTAAAAAAAAAATAATTCAAAAAGCCCCACCATGAAGCCTTCAAACAAGTTGTGCTAAATTTTATTTCCCATTGAATGTAACATCCAAAAAAAATATCAAACTGGCCCTACGTTCCTTAGGTATGTATATATTTTAAAAATTGTTTATTTGAAAAAAACAGTTTTCGAACATGCCGAAGTCTTTATGTTTTTCAGGACTATGTCTGGTATTTCATTTTAGGATTAAATATTTCAACTTATTTTTGAACAAATCGGTTGTAAGGGGGCTATATAAGATAGTCTACTATTTTTAATCACTTTTTAGTATTAATTTGAATTTAATTTAATTTTGAAAATATCACGCTCTCAATTACTTTCTTGACGGATTTATAACACAAAATCTCAAATCTGCTCGCTTGTACGGTCTTAAATTAAAGTATTCGCTCTAAACTCTACTTGCAAGCTGTCTTTTATGTATTAGTCACTTTTTGAAAATTTTTTAAAAACTAAAAAAAAAACATTATAATTATTCTGCAATTAGGATTTTAAAGCAAATTTTTTTTTTGTTTTTTTTTTTATGAAAACATCAATATTGGAAGTCCCACAACTAAATATAAATCCAAGTCTAAAATTAAGACTGAAATCTCTTCATGAAAAGGATAAAGTCTATGGTACTGCAGCTTCTATTCAGCTTAATTTTAAATTTGTATTAAAAACTATTATTGTAAATTAGTATTTTTTTGAAATTGAGAATAGTTTTTTAAATAAAATAATTTCTTTTTTTTTTATAAAAAAATCTTCTATCTATGATTTGCCATTGCAAAAATATTTCCGTGATCATCCGCTACACATACATGTATGTACGTATGAGGTGATAGTAAAATAACTTGGAACAAAAAAAAAATATGCAAAATAAAAGGAATGAAAAAACGAGGAAATACTAAAAAAATACTAAAGAATTTTTAGCGCTTTGAAATTACAAAAAAAATATAATAAATAAACAAATAAAAAAAAAATTGCAAAAAGTAGCGATAAACAGCCTCAACTACTCAGCTGCTGACAAACGCCGTGAGATAACTAAATAAAAGGCTTTAATAAACAAAAACAACAAAATAAACGTTATTAAAAAGTGTAAGGAATTTTATCTATTATTTGACAAATACAAAATTTAGTTGCAACAATAAAAAATATGACACTAAAAATTCTC